TTCTGCTGGGTATAACACTTGTTGCGATCTGCAGTGGTATGGCATCCTGACTCTTTGCACAGATGATTATACCTACGTAGCGGAGTGGGATCTCTATTTTCAAGATTTCGCAGTGTTGTACGCGTACCGTGTATCGATACTGTAGAGCAGCAAAGCCGGGAGGCAATTAAACGAGTTTTATGATCAATGATGGGTTCAGTAACGCTACCGAAGGTTACATTTCAACCATATGTGGAAGAACTGTTAGAAAAAAGTTATTTGAATGAAAAGGTATCGTCACTGCACGACTATATGTAAATGATGTAGGTCTAGTCTGAACCCCTTCAAACTAGGCCAACCATGGAGGAAAGACGCAGAAGGAGTTACAACTCTGGCACATCAAAGTGCTCGATGATCATCGCCGCCCAGTCAGACGAACAGTAGTAAACATTCAAAAATTGCTTAATTACTGCCTGCAGCTTAACCGGACAAGTGGGGCCAGTAATATCCTACCAATATTTGTGGTGTTTTCATTGCAATTAACTGCAACTTGTCGCAGTGACCTGGAAATAGAATGAAAATATCTAGCATTAGATTTACTTTTGCCATCTTGAATAAATTATTTTTTAAAGATTTTGATGCACCTTACCATTATCCATGCAATTTTGTCACTCCGAAACATCAGTTTTTAAAGTCTTTCTACGAATTTGGCTAAGACTGGCCGACATGTCGACCACCATAGTATAGTTAAGTTCACGAAAAACAAAATATGCTGTTTCATCACATGCAGTGATCATGAAATCTCATAAAGTACCTTTTTGTGTACATTCAATAATGAAAATGATTCAAATAAAGCACCAACCTAATAAACAACTTGGCTATTTATTCCCAAAATAAGTCCAGAGGAAAGCGTTTGATAAGGGCAATAACTGCATGTGAACACTTAAGGCACACAGCCTAATACAAGCAACTGCGCAAGCATTAAATTAGATGTCAGATCATACTAAGCACCCACGATGCATGAATATTCAACTTCCTATACTGCAACAATGTTTTCAGGATGCAGATTACCAGCAAAAAATTGCGGCGATGATCATGGGGTACAAAGGGGGCTTATGGTTGTAAAACAGGTGGTGCAGAGCAAGCATTTGCTGCGCTCTGGCTATGGACATACCAGCCATGCCAGAAAGTGGTAATTGGCCAGATGTTGTAACCCGGGCAGTTCAAACTCCTGTGTCCTTCCTCCATGGGCTAACCATGCCTATCCATAGGCCTGACTGGGGGCCAGTCTAGTGGACTCTCTTCGTATACGGAGGGAGCCCAGTAGACTGGCCCTTAGTCTAGGACTAGCCTTCCCCCAGAACAGTGGGGTTGATGATTGCTGTACCCCCACAAGGATGCGCGGTGGACGTTGAACCCCACATTTCTTGGGATAGGCCTACCCGTAAACCATGTCGAATGTACCCTGTCTGGACAATCTTTGGAAAAAGCATAAAGTTTCTCTTTTCGAAAATGACAGCTTTCCGGCACTAAGAGATTGTCTGACGTGTCTGACACTATTATGTATTAGTACTATTAGGTACCCCCAGAACTGTGGGGTCCAACGTCCGCTCCTTTCCCACGAACATGGAAGAGGAGCAGATGTTGGACCCCACAGTTCTGGGGGTAACTATTAGGCCCATAAGCCTTATTGCCAATACTGCATGAGTGATTTTGCGCAATGGTAGAAAGGCATCGTGGGAAGAAAAAAGAGCAAACATTGCCCCTTTTCCTTCCCACAATGCCTTTCTACCGTTGTGCAAAATCACCCATGCTGTATTAGCAGTGTGGCTTATTTGCTTACTTTATATTTCAAAATAATTGGACAGTCCTGTTTTTTAGATCGTGCAAATCGTGTACACTGCCCTTAACTGGTTCACTTCTTACCTTAGACCATATTACTGGGAACTTACCTTTCACCATAATTTCAGAAGAAAATTATTGGCACCACAAAACCATAGACCTATGTGTGAAATTTCCTGATTGACTACCGCCAACTAGGACTACTTCGAGACTTCAAAGTCAGTGTGGAGAAGTGAAGATAGTCTGCTTTAAACATGATCAGGCCATAGTAGCTAGGGGTAGTGTGAAAATGTTATTAGTAGAGTCCTAAATACTCGGACTACTGGGAAGAATTAAAACTAAAGATGATTTGAAAATTACTTAAGTTGGGATTGAATCATATAGGCTATCACATCACACTGTGTATGTGACGCAATACATGTTTAGCCACTAAGATGCCCTGATAAAATGTCATTCGACTTGATTGACAAGTGTTGCTGAAGATTGGCCGAAGAAAACTGTCAATAAAATTCACCAAACATCCTCAAGTTTCAAGCATGGATCATACAACACCTAAAAGAAGTAAATGAAACACTTCAGTGTTTATTGTTAAGTTACTTAAATTTTCATGTTGTTAATATTAAATCATCATGTTGAACAGACAGCTGTAGACACTTGCTCTAACTTCAGACTTGGCCTGTTAAAAAAAAAGGAAACACCCCTGTGAACTGGAGGACGGGGACATTCTTTGACTGTGGAGACTGCTGTACAACTTGAATAGGTCTACATACTTGATTGTGTTTGTTTCACTCAGGCTATATCCCAGGTTGGTGACGAAGTATGCAAGCAGAGATGGAATAGTCTGTTGACTGCATTGAGTTATCCGCCAGCATACACTGTACTTAGAGTCAATACACTACACCACAGCAAGGAAGATACCAAACAGCAACTTAGTCAAGCTCTGTATCAGGTCAATATCCTGTGAATTCTGTTTATCAGGAACTCAGTACATGTATCTGAATGAAGTCTGTGTTGAAACTGCTCTGTTTTTTTGGTTATTATTCCATGTAATTGGGGGCCGTCCATAAAGTATGTATGCATGAGGGGTAGGGGGTTGGTGCCGTTGCATACACCATGCTGACAGAGGAGAGGGGGGCTCAAGCCGATGTGTATCATACATGTACGCAAACCAAAGATTTGCCTTCAGTGAATCTTCATCATATCTCTTTCTTGTACAAATAAGAGGAAAAAAAGGCACCAGGATTAATTTTTGTTTGTATTCAACTGCATCTTAAGCTGCCAAGTAAATATTTTCCATTGCTTTTATCAAAGAAATATTGATATAAACACCTGTTATTACATTGGTTATTTATTTAAGAATTTGGAGACGATGTGCTAATAACAGCACTACAGTAGATGTACAATGCACTGAGACATTTAATGATGCTAAAGCAAGGTGCCCTGAGAAGTCAAACGATATGTATAATGCATATGCGTATGGGGAGGGGGTGGGGCCACAGCATATGCCATGTGTACGGGAGGGGGTCTGAAAAGTAGGCATTTTGTGTGTACATACTTTATGGACGGTCCCTTGCATCTTACATCCGTAATGTGTAGCAGCTACGTGCACCTCAGTTACTGAAACAGAGACGTGAACCAGTATCATTTTTGAAAATGCCGTTATTGATGTACCATACAGCATATTTGCATATTCATAATTTTTTGGCAATCAAGCACTACTGTTGGTTAGCAAACATGTCAGAGTTCAGTTATTGAAACTTTGTACATTTGAATAATGCTGCAAGGTTTCTGGAATGGCCCGTGTATGACATTCCAGCCAGAAATAACAACAGTGTGTAAACTGCCTATAAATTTGACTCTTCTGTAAATACACAGGCGGGTATTGATCAATGCAGTTTTGCCTTTCCTCAGCAATTCAGTGTTAAACAGAGATTACCTGCTGAAGTGAGTGATCATCCCTGCTTAGATGACACATTGATCATAACTTCCGGCAGTTTACCTGGTACCAATGAGGTACCAGTGTCTCCGTGCTCCAAGCAAGTTATAGTGGATCAGCAATGTGGCTTGGCTGTGTTGAGAGGAGCAGATATCTTTGCTCCTGGAGTATTAGCAGCTTTACCTGGTTAGTGAACTTTGTAGCGTTTAGTAATGCAAGTAATTGTGCAGTGCTAAGCCTTTGTGTTGAAGAGGCCATTTTCCACTAAAAGCACTTGCATCTAGACCTTGAAAGATACCTGCTGTAAATTCCTTGCCACTATGTGAAACCTGAATAACGGGCACATTCTCAAAGCTGTGATATTGTCGTGGAGACCTTCATGCAAGTCTGTCCCTGAGTAAATAGCAAGTCATTTTGTAGTCAGTTTTTCCTGTGAAGGAACTCAACTGAAGTATTTAGCACTAATTTGGTGCTGCTAAGTTATCCCAATTTTCCCCAAACAGCAATATGCTAAGTGTCTGGTTACAATGGACATGCACTGCCCGCATGAGTTTAGTATCACACACATAAAAAGTCATGTACGCATCAGTTTACAAAGCTGTGACAAGTCAGTCAACAAACTCAGTCACAAGTAATATGACACAAATAGTAATAAAGTAATTCTTTGTGTATAAATAATTTAATTGTTTTTTACTTGAATTTAGACAGGAGGACAAGGTTGTGACTTGTGAAGCATTGCTAACATTAAGAAACAAAATTTTTCAAAGAATTCTGTGGCGTGGTTTTTATGCCACTTTAGCCCTAAGTGGTGATGGAATACAATTTAGTAACACAAATAAAAAAGAAACCAGCATGCACAGCATTATAGAAATTTCTGTGAAGTTGGTTGAGCTATTGCTGTCATTATGAATCATTCTTTATGTCTGTTAATCTGTTAGACATGGTAAAAGGAGACAAAGTGTCTGTTTATGTTGATGTAAATGGCTCATGTCGACGAGGATTGACCAAACCATTTGAAGGGGAGAAGGTGTTCCTAGGCAATGGAGATGTGGTATTGGGGAGGAGAGAACTGTTTGTTACCACTTGTGTACCCAGGTTAGTATAAACTTTGCTTTAAAGTTGCTAAAAAATAGTACAAAATATAAAAATTAGAAATGTGTCCCCCAATTTGCCTATTTCTAAGTACATGTAGTTGCATTTCCTTGCTCAAATGTTTCAGTTTATATTTAGCAATTGTGCCATAAAACAAGGTACCATTACGTGTATCCTTTTTGCCCCAACTTTTGCTGAAAGCACAAACATACAGCAAGTGAAGGCTTTGCAGTGTTAGAGAAAAGACTGTCACATAAGTTGCAAGCCATCACAGTTAGTCTCCAGTACACACATATGCAAATGGTTGTGACAGCGGTATTCTTTTCTTCAGTGTTTTCCTCTGTGAATTGTGATTGAAATTGCAGTTCACTTGCATTGGACATGATTTCAGCTTTACCTGTTGCTTGTGAATAAAATAGGCAAACAGAACATTAATAATTAGATACTTAGGTATTAATTCTCAGGGATGTATTTGACTGTGTGTGTTTCCTCGGCCGTGATCTGTCCAGCATCTGCATGTACATGTACAGTGTTGACCTGAGTTCAACCAGTGTCACCGAATGATGGATATAAGTCGGAATAGTTTAAATGACCATTTCAAACCAGACCAGTTGCATGGTTGTGTCTTAAAGTTTAGAAAGAACTACTAACTTAAATATAGTCAGCAAGTGAGCAAGTTTGATATTTCAACTGCTCATGCCCAAAATGAAGCTCGTCCCAGGTCATTTGGATGCGCATGCAAGATCTGCACTATCAGTGTGGCCCTACGTGGACTCGCGCATGTTTTGTTCCCAGATAACCTTGCATTTCGAAATATGATGTAGTTTATTGGCAGTGAGTGAGCTCAACCAGAAATATCAACTTAATTCTATGTATTTGACAATGTTATTTCATTTTGTGAATGGGTCAACTGTGGTTGTTCAAGTGGGACTGTTAATGTTTGTTGTGGGAGCGACAAATTAGGCAGGACCAGGGAGATTTTGCCCCAGAACAGCACTGAGTATGTATAGTGATAGACATACATCAGTGATAGTGACAGGCAAAGCTCCCAACCATAAAAAAAATTAAATTGTTCCAGATGCAAAATTTGCATCTTCCAAGTATGTTTGTCATGGTAATATTGTTCATTGACCTCAACGGGCCAGCCGACGCTGGCAAGCTCAGGTCAATATGGGTGCATTCAAGCGTGCTACTCATGTTAACATGAGTATAATCCCAAGCACATGAACGGCAGGAGTACGACCTACAGGTCAGTGAGAGTATACTCTCAGTCATAGCAGGAGTCTATTCTTGCTCCTAGTGTAACGCGCACACAACCTTTTCCTGCACTTGGGAGTCAATACCATTAACCCAAGCGAACGCATCCCAAGTGGCAAGATGACTGCACTAATAAGCAGTAGGTTGTTGATTCAAGTCTCACCTTAGTCAACCTCATTCCCATGGGTACGATCTTGCCACGCCATGATGGTTCCCACCATGCCTTGCGCGATCTAACCCCTGGTGTTGTATAATTTAAATATCCCACTAAATTTGGGATATTTTAATTAGGACTTTTGTCGGTGTGTTTATGTGCTATGTAGATTTACACTTGTGTAATGTGCAAGAGAAAATGAGGGCGCGAGCGTGCTGCTTTTGAAAGACTTGCATGATTGACTTTACGTTTATGTATATTCATCCTGAATAGCCAATTAGCGTCATTTGCGTATTCTACATGACCAGGGGCTAGTGAAGGAACGTGCACACAGCCCGTGAGACT